CCAAGCGATGAAGCTTCACCTGCCAGGGTGCCTGGGCCCAGTTGATGAACATCTTGCAGCGGACCTTGGACTGGCTCTGAGGTATTATTGTTATTCCTACTATTACTACTATTTATTATTGTTATTTATTTATATATATATATATATATATATATATATATGCGTGCAGATAATAGATAGATAGATGGAACGATAGATGGATATAAAGTCTAGATACATGGACAGACAGGCAGGGGGCAATAATCATTTCTATAGTCTGTTCTACCAGAATTATACTAAACAATCCTACGGAATACAGTCTTTATTCAGGCTTCTGCATAAAATACCCTGAACCCTACGCCTACCGAAAGCCAGGTATACTAGGGGCGCCAAGGAATCATCCCCCCCCCCGCCCAGTGATGGACGTTTTTCTGTAGGCTTTCCTGAGGCTCTGTATGTATCTCATAGTAGTGTATACCTGAAGGACCAAATGACCCTTGAAAAGTAGGGGCGCTATACCCATATACTATGAATCCCTAAAGGGTATATGAACCTTAAACCCTTTTAGGGTTCATTTCGTCCTTAAGGTACTTGTATAGGCCGTGGGTCCAAATTGAATTTCAGGGCCAACCTGAACCCAGAAATAAGCTGCCGTGTTAGGCTCACTGGCGTTGATTTGCGTGTTTTTTGGGATTATTGTTTGAGCTTTCGGGGTGGGGGCGTTAAGGTGTTCAAAGTGTGGGGTTTAGCAGTTTTTTTTGTTTGGGGTTTTCAGGGTTTCGGGTGAATGAGGCTTACTTCTTGGGCTTTGAGGCTTCAGACTATGAATAGTTTGGCTGTGCTCCCGGCAAGCATCAGACATGTGGCATCCCGTGCTCAGACAAAAGAGCACAGCAATTCAACAAACTCAGACTTTGGAACTGGTGTAGGGGTTCGGGGATTACGTCAGGTTGAGACTGCAAAAACGAGAAAAAGCCAGACCATAATCAGACTCATAACAACAATGATGAACCAAGTCTCTGGCATAGTTAAACCCCCTCACCCTTGACCCAGACCCTAAACCCTGCACTAAACCCACATCCCGAACCCTGAACCCTAAACCTTGAACCGCAGATGACGAAGGTTCCCAGCCCCCCGGAAAGATCTAGAAAGTAGATCCCCCAATTTGGGTCCTATACTACTAAGGGTACTTTATAGGATTCCCCAGTAAGGGATCTACTTTTTGGATCCTCCCGGGGGTCTGGGTTCCTTAAGGACGAAATGAACCCTAAAAAGTAGTTGCCCTATACCCATATACTATGAATCCCTATACGGTATATGAGCCTTAAACCCTTTTAGGGTTCATTTCGTCCTTAAGGAACCCTAAACCCTATAAACCCTAAACCCCAAACCCCAAACCCCCTAAACCCTAAACCCCCTAAACCCCCTAAGCCCTAAACCCCTAAACCCTTAAGGAACCCTATAATTTGGGTGTTTGGGGCTCTAAAGTATCAGCCCGGCAACCTCGTGCAGCTTCTCCTCCACCCGCAAGGACTCACTCTCACTCAGAGCTGACTCTTGTTTGCCCTGGACCGCCTGAGTTGAAGTTTAGGGTTTAGGGAAAGGGTTTTGGGGTTTATAAAGGTGGTTTTGGGGTTTTGGGTTCAGGGGTTTAGGGTTTAGGGTAATTAAGGGTTTACGGTATCCTGGAACATTCAGATGGCTTTGTACAGGGGCAGTTGTGTGGTGCTTGGCGAACAAGACTTCTTCAATGAAGTTTCCTGGCTCTGTGAAAGTACTTGGGCAGTTTGTGCAGCGCCGTTTTCGGGCGTGAGTTCAAGTTCCAAGTTCCCAAACCCCTTTGGATTTATGGGGTCTTGGGGGAATGCTTAAACTCCTACACCCTCCGCTCACAAAAACGTTCCATAGACTCAAAGAATTCAAATCCCGATCACGTTTCAATTATCGGGGAGCTTCGGTCATCCAAAACTCTTTTACTCAAGGAATCTGCCAAGAATCAGGAAACCAAGTAGGTATGTCATACAATACAGTTAGGCTGCCTGCAGCTGTACTGGCTACGTATGCTTATGACCGTCCACTGACCCTTCGAGTAGAGTTGCAAGGAAAACCGGTTTGCCCAGCTTGAGAAATGACGGTTTCGGGCTTACCTGGACACCTACTAAACTGTGGTAGAATTTCGTTGGTTGCCGGAGTGTCTCATTGTCTCGTTATAGGTTCCCAGCACAGAAAAGCTTATCCAACAAGGGGAAAGCCTAAACCCCAAACCCTAAACCCAACCCAATTCCAGGGGCAGTCCCCACTGGAGTCCCCACAGCGGGTTCTGCAACAGGGGGCTTTCGAAACAAATTCGAACTCAACATGTCGTGTGCGAAGGGTTGCGGTTTGGGGCTTATACATATATACACTCTCTCTCTATCTGACTGTATCTGTATATAAATAAATATATATATATATATATATATATTATATATATGTATAATATCTCTCTCTCTCCCCGAGTTTCTCTCTTTCTTCCCCTCTCTCCATATCGATCTGCAAATATACAAGTATGTGTATGTCTCTTTCTGTCTGTGTTTCTTGTATGCTTTATATGTTATATGACATCGCTTGGGGGAATGGTGGCGTGCAGCCTCGAACACCCAACACTTTGTCTTAGCTTTGAGCTGCGAAGCCTGCGCCAGCCAGCACCGGAGGCCACTGTAGTTGTAGCGGAAGTGGAAAGCCAGCACGACTAATCCAAATCCAACCAGCAGCTGCTCACTCTGACGTGGCGACGAGCTCATGGCGTCCATGCTCTTTTGAGCAGGGGGAAGAGCTACATGATAGATTTTTTCGAGCTTCACTAGATGGCGGCGAGGCGAGGCGACAGAATGGATGAAGTACTCCAGTATTTCGGCTGCTCTAGCCATCCATAATGTCTGGGAGCGCCTTTCAATAATGAGGATTGGGGGGAACCCTATAAGAGTATGGTTAGTTGTTCAACTATATCCATGGGGGAAGACCGCAAGCATGCGCTTGACGCTTTCCCAGAATTGAAACCCTGTGCCGTCCTGCCGGCAATCACCCTGAACCCGAGACCCTAAACCATAAAATGCACTGAATCCTAAAACAGTACAGTAGAAGCCAGAAAGTTGGAATATCATTATCGTAACCCCTTTAAGGTAAATTATAGGGGATCCTACCATTAATCCATATTCCAACTTTCTGGAGTTCCCTTTATAATAAATATATATATATATATATATATATATATGTGCACACACACACACATCGCGCAAAACCTGGAAGCCTCACCCAACTCCGACAACCTGTCCAGTCTGACACCATCACCCAAAGGGTCCTAAGTACTGCTATGGGGGAAACTTGAAGGGATCCATGATATGGGTCCCTTTAAGGGTTCCTTTAGGGGATCTATATACAGGCGTACGGTTATGGGGGATACTTCCCCAAATTAGAATAGTAATTCCTAGAATAGAAACTCTACGTTATGCTATATAGGTACTTTGGACCCTTTGGGTCAGTATATCGTGATCAAACTCCCAACAGCACCAGCACCCTGCCTTTGCACAGCTGAGAACGACAAACATTCGACCGGCACTGTAAGATGTAGGATCGCGCCGATGTGTTCCAAGTTTACTACTATTTGCTTAAGAACCCCCCAAAAAAATAAAAAAATATAATCCCTATATTATCCCTATAAGGAATATATTTTTATTTTTTTGGGGGTTCTTAAGCAAATAGTAGTTTAACAATGGTCATTGACTAAAGATCATCAAAAAGGGGCCCGCGAGGGCTTATCTGAACCTCTACATTGAGTCTCTGCTTCCCCGTGTGACTTACGGGGGCTTAGGCTTAGGGCCTGAAGGCGTAGGGTCATATGATGTAGGAGTGCATGGTCTAGTAGGGTCTTGGTTCTTGTTGCTGTGGGTAGCGTGCGTGGGGTTTAGTACCCCTTAATTAAGGAAGATACCTCAACTTATAAAAGATACCTCAACTTATAAGGAGATTCTTATTATCGTTTAAGATATATTCCTTAATTATGATTTAAGCTATATTCCTTCATTATGATTTAAGCTATATTCCTTCGTTATGATTTAAGCTATATTCCTTCGTTATGATTTAAGCTATATTCCTTAACTAAGGGGTATGGGGCTCTCTGGGGAAGCTACAAAGGTCTAAAGGGACTCCCCAGTCCGGAGACGATGCCATAAGACAGGGGCCTTCATAGCTAGAGTAGGGTTCCTTTAAAGGGTTCCTTTAAGGGGTCTATAAGGGATCTATAAGGGTATATTTTTAAGGGCCTTCATAGGTAGGGTAGGGTTCCTTTAAAGGGCTCCTTTAAGGGGTCAAAAAGGGTACAATAATATAGGAGCCTTCATGATTAGAATAGGCTTTCGGGGGGTATTAATTTATATTCACTACTATAAATATAAGAAGTAACTCCCAACATAGTATAGGCAATTTTAATTCTGAAGGCCCTTATATTACGGGGTTTATGGCTTGGGGGTTTAAGGGTTTAGGGTCTGGATTTAGGGATCACCGGCAGGTGCCATGCCACTGGGCCTTCTGCGGAATGCACGAGATTTGAATGGCACATGTTGTTGACGTGCTCGGAGCCCTTTTTCTAGGGACCCAAGTACCTACTAATCATATGCTCCGCCAAGTAACCTACATAACCACTATCCGAAACCTAAATACCCAAATATTGGGATCCGAAACCTACCCGGCCCAAATATAGGGGCCCTTGGACCTTTACCTTTACCAAAACCCCCGAAAGTAAGCAGAATAATGGCCCTAGACTTACAAAAGTCCACTATTCTACATATTTTGAGGGGCCCCGGTAGGTTTCCCAAACACTAAATCTGCATTACCCATGATCAGGAATATACCACAATTCCCATAGTTTAGGGTCCTGAAGGCCATGCAGGATTTATATCATCAACAGAAGCAGCCAAATTATTGGGGCCCTTGGATCTTTCGGGTTCTCTATGGAATCCTACACCTTTGCAACCCTGAGCGGCCTCGAACGGCCGGTGCCATGGCCGACTTGCAGAGAGGGTGCTGCCACCTGAGCTAAACCCTAAACCCTAATGGGTGCAGCATGACGGACTTTAGAGGCTACCTTAACTTAGTTGCTGAGTTCATAAGCCCCAAAATGTGTACACTTTCAGTTTTATAGTGGCTGGTGTTATCCCAAAAAAGTGTACGGTGTACTCACTCAGCTAAAAAGTTAAACCACCATAACCTACCCTAAGGGTCCAAGTACCCAAATAGTACGGTTTCGACATTCAGAGTATGGATTTCGGGACCTAAAACCGTATATTTGGGTACGTGGACCCTCTGGGCTACTTTATCGTCGGGCTTCATTCTGAACCCGAGCAATACGGAGCTTATAGAAACCCTACAACAAGGATTGTGTAGTTCAATCTACTTGTCAGGGAGTACGCCTTGGTGGTCTTTCAAGGTCTCACACAGGCATTCTGCTATCCTTAAACCCTGCACCCCTCCGATTGAAACCTCAGATCTCAAAGTAACATCTGCAACAGCGTGGGTTTGCAGGGCACAGTATCCTGTCACGACATGGGTGCACTAAACAAGTGAGCACCTCACCTAGCCTATGATGACATGTGGGTCGCATGGGAATCATCACTCCCAGTGACCTAAACCCAAGCTTGACCGCTGTAACTAGGGCCCCCAAAAAAGCACATAAGCAAAAATTAGGAAAGGGATATCCCGTATAAACCCCCTTATAATGAACCCATTAAGGTAGGGATATCCCTATAACAAGCTTTTGCTTATGTGCTTTTTTGGGGGCCCTAGTAACTTCCAGAAACATGTCTCATTCCGACTCTGGGTGAGAACCCGCCGATAACCGTCATTACCGGCACATGGGTGGTTGTCAAAATGATGGTCCCTTTTTGGGTACCCATTACAATACGGCACCTATTATTTAGGGTACCCAAAAAGGGGCCATAATTTTGACAACCACCCACATGTAAACCCCCGAATCCTACCATAATCCTTGCCCCACTTGTCCAGTATCCCCATGAACTAAAAAGATTTAACCCTGTACGTTGGGAGTATATAGGGTTTATAGTTTACAGTATCCCCGAAAGATTAAAGGCTAACTACTCTACTACTCAGTTACTACGAAACCATACGAAACCCGGAGTTTAGGTTAACTCTCGTGACGGGCTGCACGGCCCCTGCAGATTCAGCTTCCTCCTGCAACCTTCCGGAAGAAGGGTTTTGCAAGATCTTGTTTCGTGTGTTCTAGTGTTCTAGGGCTTTCTGGAGATTTATGTCAGTGTGAGCTTAAGTTGTTGGTAGAGTGCCGGCAGGGTTTAAGTCTGGGTCCGAGAACTCAAACATCGGGGCTTCCGGGGGCTGTAGGGTTTAGGGGTTTAGGGTTTAAGGGTTTAGGGTTTAGGGGTTTAGCGTTTAGGATGTTTCCGATTTAGCCACCAGGCCAACCAAGCTTGCGGCGCCTCTAGAAGAAATCCTAAATCCTGAGCCCTGAACCCCAGTCCTTGCCATGGCCACACGGGAACCTCATGTCCACGGAAGGACTCACTACAGGGGCCAAAATCCCGGCAACATACTAAAAATGTGCTACGGCTATGCAGGCGATTATGAGGCTCATGTATCTCGCAAGTCAACGTTGCCAAGGCACGAGGATGCAAACATATCCCGACCCGAAACATCCTAGACGAACAATCTCCAAGCAGGATTTGCAGAAGCAGCCCTGGCTCCTACTTGGCTTGAACCAACCTACAATTGGGAGCTGTCGAAATACATGCACAAAACAGGCCTGTCAGCACGGTGTCGAGGCCCCAGAGCCTGAACACCCCAAACCCATAACGTAAACTAATTCGCGAGCTCGAAACCCCAGACCCTGAAGCCAAACACCTCAGCCCTCAAACTCACACAATCGGACACCCCTCAGTCCTTTACCACAAAACCAAGAGACTCCAAAGCTCTTCAATCAAGGAGCATACCTTACATTACAGCTAGAACCGCCTCAGAACTTCAGGTATAGCCTGAAAACCCTACAAACCCTACTGCAAACCGTGGCACTGAGAAATAGCCTTCATAGGTTCCTTAAGGACGAAATGAACCCTAAAAGTAGGGGCCCTATATACCCATATACTATGAATGGCTTTCTGGTAAATGAGCCTTGAACCCTTTTAGGGTTCATTTCGTCCTTAAGGCAAGAAAAGGCTTGTAAGCAGAAGTTCAACCTGAAGAAGGCCCTTTGATAGTCCAGGCTCCTATATATTATAGAACCTTACTGTAGATCCCTTACAGTAACCCTTAATTACAGACTCCTTTATAAAGGAACCCTATAGTAGGTGCTGGAGTCTCTAGGAACGCGCAGGCTTGTCAGGCCCCCCGCCCGCCTCTGCAGCATTTTCACGGCGGCTTGCTGCTGCGCTTCCGACTTGTTCGTGGCCATTGTACCATGCACCTGCGCAGGGCATTCAACAGGAATTTGCATGGTTGTCAGATCGCAAGTTGTGAGAGCTTCAAGTCAAGACTTTAAGGGGCTGAACAGTGTTAACCGGGTGTTTAGAGTGTCTTGTAGGTACCAAACTATGTCTAGTGTTTGGGGCTTAATGTCTCGGTTTAGTGTCTGTGGTTCACAGACTCTGCAATTGTATGTCCAGCGCTCGAGATCCAGGCACAGGAAACTTGTCACAAGGCTGCACTTTCGGACCCCGCGAATGTCCTTACAATCACATGACAAATCATTGCTAACCTTGACAACAGGCTGACCGGAAAACCCTATAAACTTCAACAGTTCAAGTATAGATGCTTCTTTTTGGAGTGTCGCAAATTTGATTGGGGCCCCTCACACGGGGGCTTAAGGGCGCTTGCTTCCCAAGAGCTGCTGCTGAACCCTCAGCATGAAGGCTACTCTCACTCCAGGTCTGCAGCTGCTGCTCGCAGCTTTTGTCGGGCTTCTTGAAATTACAGTTCGCACTTGCGCGTAGCACTGCGAGCGAGCAAACATGCACAAATGCAGAGCGCACACAAACGACGGCAATTGGGCAATTGTGGCATTTTGCGCGACGCAGATCACCCAGATAAGTACATGCAACTGTTCGCGTCTGCAACTCTTGCGCAGTGTTCGCTGCAACGATGTGCGCATCATCTTCGTAACAGCTTTCGGAAAGGGTTCCAAGCGCAAGTGAAGACCTCATCGCCCAAATTTAACTATGATTCCGCAGTCAACAAGCACTGTGAAAAGGCACAACACATTAACCCGTTAAGGCTCATCATACCTTACGCCCCCATTACAGCGCCCTCCATTAGCGGCTCTCTGATCTTTGGGCCCTACCTGAAGGACGAATGAACCCCAAAAGCGTTTAGGGCTCATATACCATATAGGGATTCATAGTATATGGGATGGGTATAGGGCCCCTACTTTTTGGGGTTCCTTTCGTCCTTAAGGCCCCTTTTAAACATTTTAACCCCCAAACCCCATTCGAGAAGCCACGAAGGCAGCCTGGAGGCCCATTTCGGGAAGGGAAATCACCTGGGCTCTTGTGGTTTTTACTTAAAGGATCAGGGGACTTAGTAACTGGGGTTATAACAAAGGTAACTATACTTATAATCACTTACAAACCCACTTAAGGTACTTATAACCTGACTCACTATGACTCACTAAGTCCCATAGGGCTTAGGGTTCAGGGTTTAAGAGGGAATATTTTTCAGGAGCTTGGCTTAATTTAGTTGGGCCAGCTAAACTCTTCGCCAATAAGGCGAAACACACAAGATCCCAAGGGCCTATCCGGTGACTAATGACACTAATCACGGCGTGAGGAACAAGAGCCGTAACAACAACCAATGCTAGTGTCGGTAGTATCAGTAGTAGGACTAATCGCAGCAAGAAATAGGAGCAGCAATATCCTTAAGGGTATAATACCTATCCCGACATTCACAACTTCTACTAAACACGAACCTACAAAACGACCATCCCAAACTTAGGGCCTAGACCCTAAACCCTAACCTATCCGAAACCCTGTCATTGTAACAACTCAAAGGTTCATAAGCCCACTTAAGGTACTTAAAACCTGACTTACAAAGTCCCATGATCCTCCAAGAAAGTCAAGTCCAAGTCACCCCCTGGAACCAGCTTTGGCCCTTGGCGGCCTGCCAAGGGAACACCCAGAGACTCCAATATCCCTTGATTAGGGAACATACCTTAAATCATACAAGGGATCCTACCATAATCTCAGGAATATTCCTTGATTAAGGGATATTGGAGTCTCTGGGCAGCTTTCCGGAGATCCCGAAACACTAGATTGACCCCCCAAAATAACATACTTATTAGGGGCGTGTGTAAGGAAGAGATAATAAGGATCCCTAAAATCGTAGGTTCTCGAGGGAGGATTTAAGGTTTCGGGTTCTCGAGCGGCTTCAAGATTCATCTGCAGAAACATGGAGCCATAAAGCCTATGTAGTATATGGGTGTAGTCTCCAGTGTAGTTTAGTTCCTCTTGGGGGTTTACCTTACAAGGATCTTGAATGAGAAGTTGGTGCATCCAAAAAGAACGAGCTATAATGGAGACTATAGGTAGACCTCGAGTCGTCAAGATCCTGACATCTTCAATCCAGCAACAACATAAGTCTTTCATCTGAATTCCCAGGCATCAGATATCAAAATCGCACGAAACCTGTATCTACAAGTTGTTTGACAAGACTCGTTTGGAAACCACAGCCGATCTGTTAGGGTGGGACTGCTTGTGTGTGCTTTTTCAGGTTGGTACCGGGTTGGACGTTGAAGGATGGTTTACCAGGACCCGCCAGAATCAAGCACTTGGCGTTTAGAAATCATGATCGCAGGGCTTTCGGTGTTTAGCTGCGAACAGGATCTCGGGCTTTGGAAAGTGAGGGTGTAGGGCTCAGGCTTTTTGGGAGGTGGTCTCATGGTTTGAGTGGTTTACAAGGGATCATGTAACTTGCACTATTTTGCAGTGTCTCTTCGGGCAAAGACTGGGCACTACAGCAGTATTTACTGTCTGTAGGGTTTGGGGGCTAAATACAACACCCGGACTCAATTCCCTAAACCCTAAGCCTTTGTCCTCGCTAGTTCCCCCTGGTTGCTCCGTGTGCTGTCCACGCCTCTTTCGGCAGATCGTCCGCAAGAAAGGTTAGGCTAGACCTAAGTAACCTAGGCATAAAAAGGGTGCCCTTTTTGGTCTAAAGGGTGTTATAAGGGAACCTAAACCCTAAAAAAGGGAATAAGGGCCTACTCTGGGTCCTAGTAGGGCTTTCCTTTAATGCGTAGTGACTTTTCAGTCTGCCCGAACTCGGCTTACAACTGACCGGCATCCGATCGGGTTTACTTAAAGGATCATGGGACTTAGTAACTAGGGTTATAATTAGGGTAACTATACTTATAACCCCAATTAAGGTACTTATAACCTTGCTTACTAAGTCCCATGATCCCCATTATAGAACCCCTATAGATCCCTTTAAGGAGCCCTATTATAGAACCCTATAGTACTTTCTTAAAGGGAGCCCTATTTAGTAGGGTTTCAGGGTTTGATCGTCCTCAAGAGATGGATTTACGGGCTTATCGGTTCGAAAGCTCAGGCTGAAGCCCCGCTAAGCCCCTTAACCTAAACCCGAGACGTTTCAGCCCTTTGGGTTTAGGGTTTAGGGTTTAGGGTTTAGGGTGTAACATGGGACTTAGCAACTAGCCTTGGGAAACTGAGGAAACTGCACTTATATTGACTTACAGCCCCACTTAACCTTGCTTACCTTTAGTTCCAAACCCTTGCAGCGATTGAGAGGCCTCATGTCCTGTACCGGTGTAGTTGTCTCGAACTATCGCTGATCCTGGAACCCCACGAACCCAAAACATCTCGACCCGAAACCCCATTGAGCTTTCATAGCGCGGTGCAGTCTCAACCCCGTAGACCCTGAATCTTGGATTGAGGGTGTAGGGTCTGCGGTTTACTTCAACCCTAAAACACCTACATCACTTTAGGGTTGTCCAGTATGATGTCCTTCCATTCCTCCTGCAATAGAATCCTAGCATTGAGGTGGGGCTTGAAAGTCTTAGACCTGAACCCCCAAAACTCTACGTAAACCCGATGAGCCTGAAAGCCCTCACACGAGTCCTAAAGCCCTCACACCCTTAGAGCACACTCTCAACGAAGAAGTCTAAACCCCAACCCGTCCTTGCAAAGAATGACGTCTGTCCGAGGTTGCGCCAAGCCCTTCCGCCGCGCAACATCGTTAAGCAGGCTCCTTAGGCTTCCAACTCGAATTTGGGCTGAGTCAAGGCTCTCATGAGGCTTTGATCAAAGGTCGTCCACAAGTCTCCATGAGATTTAGGGTCTTCAACAACACATTTAGAATTTCAAAGGCTCGTACAGAGCTCTGCCTTCGTAGGGCGCCGTGCAAGGTCACATCGAAGGCTTCTTCCATAGGGTCTGGGTTATACTTATACGAGTTTTACTATGGCTTCATCAGCGTTTTACAGCAGTCTTCTTTAGGCCTGCAGGGTTCCGGGGTACACTTACAGGATCAGGGTGGCGTAGCTATAACTACCCGTAACATCGGCTATGGCCCTGCAAAGAAGGTAACTACTTATAGCCCAACTTTCGAGGTTCCCATGTAAATAATTACTCTGACAAGTGGGTGGTTGTCAAAATTGGGATCCCTTTTTGGGTACCTTATATATTAGGTGCCGTATTATATCAAGGACCCAAGAAAGGACCCTAATTTTGACAACCACCCAAGTGAACCCTTCCTTTTGCTAAACCCGTACACCCCTGCACCCGAAACCCCTAAACTTTCAGTGAATGAAGCCTTCACCCTTGTGCACAACGCCCTTACCTCAATCCGAAACCCCAAGACCACCCTTCCAAAATGCAACAATCGCACAAAACCCTTCATCCTAAGAGTTTAGGGTTTTGGGGTCTAGAGGTCTAGCGTTAAGGGTTAAGTTTAGGATTTAGGGGTTGAGGAAGTTACGGCTTAGGGTTCCTAAGTTCCATGCGTCACATCCTAAACCATCAGCAGGGCCTTCAAAGAAAAGGCACTGGGTGTTGACTACACCGGGGTTTTGTGTACAGTAAGGTTTGCAGGCTTACCGTTCAGGGCTATCATAAACCCACAATGCACACCGAGCGTCCGGGGGTTTAGACCCACCCAAGTCTCAGCAGAAAAATTCTCGGGAAACTTCGGATGCCCACAGACCAGCATGCCGCGACTGTGGTTCCTCAGCGCACTCGTGGTGAATCCCGCATACCCAGTAAAGGGGTGGTCCCCAAAACATACCGAATGACCCCTGCGGCCCCGACGTCCAGCTCAATCCTATACCCATTTAAAGCATGCTGGACTGGGTTCAGACTATTCCTCAGACATTGCATGGTGCTTCGGATTTGTACCTCAGAAAGAACCTTGAATGACTCCGAACCACCACGAATTCCATCGACCTTCCCAAACCTCCGAACCGAACTCTGCTCCCACAGACATCCGTGCAAGAAGATGCAACACGTAAAAAAGAAAATACATCTTTCCCGACGAAATGAAACTCGGTTTGAGGCTTGGGGTTCAGGCATCCCAACTGTTCAGCTAATATAGGGACCTTAGTAAATAGAAGAGGGTTCTGGAGCCCATTATACTATACTTATAATAAGGACCCGCCAAAATAGTATTGGTAATTCTTAAGGCCCCTGTATTCCCAAAGGGTCCAAGTAATGGTATAGTATATACTTTGGGGGCCAAAATACCTGCTATAACGGTACTTGGTCCCTTGGGGATTAACTGTAAAAGATCAGCTGGGGTGCAGCGCCGGCACAGGCTCTCGCAAGAACCCTGCTCGCTCTGCCTGCAAGGCATCCCTATAGGGTGTAAGGGTTCATGGCTCCTGTACAGGGGTCTATATGTGCCAGCATCCGCGCACCCCCCCCCCCCTCCTCCCCCCATGGTAATCCCCCTCCCCCCCCCTGTGGTTCCTGTGGTTCCCCCCCCCCCTGTGGTTCCTCTTGGTTTTCCCCCTCCCTTTTGTGGTTCTTCTGGTTCCTGTCTCCCCCCTCCCCCCCTGTGGTTCCTGTGGTTCCTCCGCGTGGTTGCTGCTGCTTTGTTGTTGCTGCTGTTCTTCTTCTTGTTCTTGTTCTTGTTCTTGTTGTGTGGTCGCCCGGGTCGGGGGGGGGGGGGATACCATTGGGGGGTGGGGGGTCGAGAACGCGGAGCGCGGGCACATATAAGGGCTCCTTGAAGGGATCCATAAGGGTTCCATAAGGGGTTTAGGGGTTTAGGGTTTAGTTTTGGTTTTCGGGTTTTGGTTTAGGGTTTTGGGGTTTAGAGTGTTGGGGGGGTGCGCTTTCCTCCTTGACAGGTTGTGTTCAAACTTCAGTTTGTGAAACCTCGCGAACACCTGAACCTCGTCGCCCCTCGCTGCAGGTTTAAGGTTAGGGCTTCAGGTTGATAAACGAGCTGTGAAGGCAATGCCTGCGTTAGTCAGACTGTTCTTTCAGATAATCATACATGCAGCACCATCATTTCTACTTTCACTTTGCCAGTCTTTGTGTAATTCCTGTTTCCATGGCTGTTACTGTTAATTACTCCCTTGGTATATGGGAGTTTCCGAAAATAGGGGATCCTAATATAGTACCCTAAATAGTAGGATCCTGATTATAAGGACCCCCCCAAAAAAAACAAATAAGGTACCCCAATTTTTGGAAACTCCCAAATATTCATGGCCAAGGGACTGGCCAGGCCGGTTTAGGGTTCAGGAGCGTCAGGTCTACCTGAACCCTAGAAACCCGCAATTCCCAGGCTCCTCGTGATGATTTTCTTATATAAGACCTTAAAGAAAGGTAGCCAAGGGTCCATGTACCCATGCAGCATATACTTTCGCCCGAAAGTACCAATGCAGGGACTACTTATTTAAGGCCAATATATACATATGGGTACATGGACCCTTAGGGTCAGTCCTTCAAATGGTAGGTTATTTGGGGATACGGTAGGGTTTACTGAAATGGTCGAAGGTTTTGCTGGTTCGATTCTTCAGTTCTTGGCTTGGCTTCGTGCTCGGGTTGTTTTGATTAATATCGGGGCCGCAATAATTAGAGTAGGGTTTCGGGGTATATATTGCGGCCTGAATAATTACAATAGGTTCTTTTGGGGGGAACATGATTGTTTAAATACACTCAGGAACCCTAGCAATAACATCTGTATTTATTCAGGCACCTGTATTCGTTGCCGGGTTCCGTAGCCCCAGGAACGGTAACCTTCCATGTAACTCCCCACCCCTAACCTCGTAGACCTACCTGTTGACCCAGCGACTCCCAAAAACCTTGATTAAGGAATATGCCTAAATCATCACAACACCCCTAGAAACCAAGGCGTACTCCTAAACTAAGGCGCTTTTCAATCTCTGAGCTTATGAACGCGGACGGCACCTAAACCCCCCAGAGTCGGCAGAATAACGGCTCAACACCTATCAAAGGCCAGTATTCTACATGTGGGTGGTCGTCAAAATTAGGGTCCCTTTTTGGGTCCCTATTTTAATACGGCACCTATTCTTTAGGGTAGCCAAAAAGGGACCCTAATTTTGACAACCACCCATGTATACTGTTGTGGTCGGAGTAAGTGCGTTCAACGACCGGACGCCCCCTTGCAACAAAGCGGGTCTAAAGGGTTCGGGCTGTACTATAACGGGCTCAATAAGCGGAAAGGAGCTACGGATATAACGTAGTATATAACAATGCATCTGTAATCTACTTAGGGACTTTCATCAACAAGGAAAGTCTACAATCGATTGTTCAGGCCCCTAGTCTACAGGGTTTGTGGGTTTTTTTGGAGTGGGCGCGTGCAGGGTTCGCAGGGGTTTGAGCCCCTAGCCTTCAGAAATTCGTAGCGAGCCAGGGTGATGTCGACAAGCTCTGCACCTCACTGGCCCAAAACTCAAGGGAATAAAAGTTGAAACTTTCAGAATCGACTACCTTATACGAACCCCAAAAAGTTGAAAAGTTGAGTTTACAGCCAATAAGGCACCAGAAGAGTGAGCGCTGGCGTCCATCAAGAAGGAGTCGCCGAAGACTTCCTGGGTTGGCCTTTAAACACCCTGAAAAATATTTACATATACGGCCCCTTATAAACCCAAATAAGGAAAATAATAAATTGTCCCCAAATCCAACCTAGCTTCTACTCCCGCAATTGCCGTGGCCCGATCGTTCACCTCGGCTTGCCCACCCGGAGACTCCAATATCCCTTAATTAAGGAATATACCTTAAATCATATAAGGGATCCTGCCATAATTTAGCGAATATTCCTTAATTAAGGAATATTGGAGTCTCTGGGAACTTTCTGAGGACGGTTGATGCTCAGCAGTTTAGGGTCTTTTGCACCTCGAATGCATGAACTGTGAAGACCAGGAAGCAAAATTCTAAGGCTTAAATCCAAATCCCGAACGCCAACCTACAAATCCAAAGCCCGATAAAACAGGGAGGTGTTACACAGTTGGAACATGTGAAGCAGTGTGCAGGTTTAAGTTCGGGGTGTTGGGATGTAGCCCCGCTGAGGTGAAAGCTTCTGATGGACAGTCTCTTACAAACCGTCAGCACGCAAGCTCAGACCCATGACGCAACTGGTAATCAAGCGACACATACAAGAAACATGCGACAACATAACACGTAATCAATCTACAAATTCAGCCCACCGACCAACCAATCAACCAACCAAGAAATCAACCAGCCAATCAGCCAATCAGCCAATCAGTCAGTCAGTCAGTCAGTCAGTCAGTACAAGCAAGCAAGCAAGAAACCAACCAAACCTATATGTGCAAGGCTATCTATCTTTCTGCTTCTCTATATAAGCAGAACAGTGGTCATTCTAGGACTGATTATGAACATAATACTGTTCTTACTATCATGAGAACACCCGTGTCTTTCGTTGGCATTGCCGTCATTATCATCACCACCATCATCGCTATCATCATTATCGTGGAGCCAGAGAGAGAGAGAGTGAGAGAGAGAGAGAGAGAGAGATAGATAGAGAGATAGAGAGAGAGAGAGAGAGAGAGAGAGAGAGAGAGAGAGAGAGAGACAGGATGAGACGAGAAGAGATGAGATGAGGCGAGACGAGACAAGATGGGATGAGAGTGAACAATAATCAACACGAACCTCAGACCAAATCCTAAAGCCTTTAACCCCAACCGTCAACAAACACCGGCAGCCAAAGCCAAGACACTACTTCGGAAGCATCCATGGCCTCGTACAGGCTAAGCCCCTTCGGCCGGTCCCTCTGCCAGCCCAAGGGGTAGCAGACGGTGTTTTTGCACTTCAACAGACTTTCCTTAAATGCGAGATGTTGCAGGGTTTAGGAATCAGGGTTCGAGCAGCTCTTACGTAATGATTCCTTACCCAAAGGGTCCAAAGTATCTTTATGGTAGAATGTAGGGTTTTTTAGGAATTACTACTATGATTTGGGGAAGTATTCCCCATAACAGTACCTAGGACCCTTTGGGTTAAAATATTCCCTTAAGATTCCCAAATCATACTTGCTGAGCAACCGAGTGTCTGCAGTCGCCAAGAAATCCTCGCTTTCCACCACCACGCGGCGCAGAAAGGGCAGCTCGTTCGCCGCTGCAGGCAGCCACAGGATCTGCACCTGCGAATAGAAAGGCGCATACGTATGCCAGGGATGTTTGGGGCTATCTTTGGAGTATCTTTGCACCCTAGACCCTAAACCCTAAACCCTCATGTCAGAAAAATGTATTCAGCGGAAGCTGCAAGCTTCTTGGACCTTGCAGCTCCTGCAACCCATCCCCAAACCCTATGCCTCCAGGGACCTCATTATGAAGTCCTTAAGGGGTCTAGGGCCCTAACTATGAGGTCCTTGGAGGGATAGGGAAAACTCAAATGCAACATCGAAGCCGCCTGGGGCCTACCCAAAATCCCGAGACTAGGTGAGATACTGCACGTGTAGAACCCAGAGACTCCAATATTTCTTAATTTAGGGAATATACCTTAAATCAGATTAAGGATCCTACTATAATTTAAGGGATATTCCTCAATTAAGGGATATTGGAGTCTCTGGGAAGGCTGTTAGTCTACATGTTGGGTCCAGGTAGGGCCTTGGGCCTCACGCCCAAACCATGACCAACACAACTTGAACTGGGCAGCCCTAAACCCTAAACCGTGAGCCCGTCAGGTCTTTCCATGAAACGCGGCAAGGTCTCAGTATCTTTGCGCAGCGTGGCAGCGAGTCTAAACCCCCAAGCCTAAACCGCTGCTCTCCGGCGAGCTTCACCGCTTTCGGGGCTGAGAAAATAGCTATTTTCCTGCTCCCAGGCTCAGGGTTTCAGGCATTCACGAGCCGCAGTGTGTGGCTGCCGAAAGCCCAACTGCGCTTGAACCCACACCCTATGACCGAACGCCGAAACTCCCACCCGCTTCATCTCAAGGCCTGAAGCCCTAAACTCTGAACCCCTGGCACCGAAACTCACAAAGGGATCCCAGCCTCAAACCCCAACGCTTCCCAAGCCCCAGGCTCTGGACAACTACCCCTACTACAGCTACTCAAACAGTAGGTTACCAATGTTAGACTAGTGTAACCCAGCAGCATACAAACTATTTAGGTAACTGCAGCCCTACCTTAACCTACCAAAACCTACAAAAAAGTAGGGTCCCTATAAATTCCATATTAAGGTTCATAATAAGGACCTACAAAAAATAGGGTTTGGTAGGCTAAGGTATATAAGGACAGAATAGAAAACCCTAAGCTCTGAAACCTAAGCCCTGAAGCCCGAACCCCAGAGCCCCCAGCCCTTGATCCTAGCTTCAAGACCCAGTAAACCCTTCTACCGAAGCTCTGAGCCCTGAAACCCTAAACCGGGACATATCCCGAAACACTCGAGCTTAGCTCTGAGAGCTCTGAATCCCTGCCTAGACCTACCAAACCCTACTTTTTTGTAGGTTCTTCTTATAAACCTTAATATGGGATTTATAGGGACCCTACAAAAAAGTAGGTTTTGGTAGGTGAAGGTGAAACCTAAAGCCCGGAACCATCCCTCAACACCTAAGCTTCGGGGTTTAGGGTTTAGGGCTTAGGATTAGGGATTAGGGTTTAGGGCTTAGGATTAGGGTTTAGGGTTTAGGGCTTAGGGATTATAGGGTTTAGGCTTAGCTCCACCTAACCGGAACCGCCCCAAAAGTAGGCAAAATAGCGGCCCCAACCTTATAAAAGGGCCATTCTTCTACCTTTTTTTTTTGGAGGGGGGGGGGGGGGGGCTCCAGGTAAGCCCTGAATCCTAAACTTCACACCCCTAAACCCTAAACCCCCGAACCCTAAACCCTAGATATCCGAAACCCTAGAAACCCCAATAATTATAGGTATTTGGCTTTATACTAATTAGATATTTGGCTTTAGGATAGTAGTCATGTAGGTTAGGGTTTTGCAGAGTATCTGATTATCAGGTGCTTGGACCCTTAGGGAAATACCCTACCCCCTACCCCTATAAGCCCTGAAAGCCGAAGCCACTGCACCTCCCGATCGTGCGGCCGCGGCGGCGGCTGAAAGGCCGCCGAAGGCGTCGGAGTAGGGATCGGGGACGCCTTCAAGGGTTTGGGCCCTAAGAAATGGTTTAGGGACTAGGGTTTAAGGGTTTAGACTCGGCTTAGAGTTCTATAGGGGCTTCGTGTTTGCCCAGACTCCAAAAGTATGTAGAAGAGTAGCCTTGCATTGGTTTAGCATGGTTTAAGCCATTTACTTTACCTACTTTTGGGGGCTTGGGGAGGGCTCAGTAATAAATAAATGTAGGGTTAGGATGTAGGGCTCAAGGGTTTTGAGTTTAAGGAATCTGGTTTTGAGGGCTCTTCTCCTTAAGACATAGGGCTTGGGTTTGGGGGCTGAAGGCTTGGGATTTGGCGTTTATGGGTTCAAACTTCAGATTTAGGGCTCAAGGGTTTAGGGTTTAGGGTTTAGGGCTTATAGGGGTTTAGGATTTAGGGTTTAGGGTTTAGGGTTTAGGGTTTAGGGTTTAGGATTTAGGGCGCCTTGGCCAAAGGTTACGGTTACGGAATGATGGTTAAGCCAAGGGCTCCAATCAAGGAAGCTTTGTTTAAATACATGCGGCTCCATCCGATGACGCTTTTGGACAATGATAGTTAGCAATAGTCCTAGGGAATTGGCTCCAAATGCTCCAGGCAACTTCAGATATCACCCTTACCGGCTTATGCTAACATTGAGTTGAAACCAGCGGTCTGCGACACACTAATCAAGAGCAGGGCCTATGAACTAGGGGGAGCGTACCGCTCCCAGTAGCAAAATTGTCCTGTCAACTCTGCTACATCATTCTCATGCTACTTAAAGGACCAGGGGACTTAGTAATTGGGGTTATAAATAAGGTAACTGTGCCTGTAACCACTCATAAGCCCACTTAAGGTACTTACAACCTGGCTTACTAAGCCCCATGATCCTCCAAGTAGGGTTCCTTTAAAGGGATCCACAAGGGCTCCTTAAATGGAATCTATAAGGGTTCTAAAAAAAGGAACTACTATGGGGCCTCAGGCTATAAACCCCTACCTGACCCCAAGGGTCCAAGTACCTAATAATCATATACTCTCCAAAATCCTAACCTACATAACTACTATCCTCAAACCGAGTACCTAACCATTGGGTCCTTTGGACCCTTGGGGTGATGGTCGGCCTTGCCCTGCAGCGCCAGAAGCGCTTTCTGTGCCACATCCTCTTGCAAAGTTTTCTGGTTGAAGGGCGTTGGGGTTTGAGGCTCTACTGCTTGATAGGTTTGGCTTGGGTACGGCTTCCACTCAGTAGTAGTTGAATAATATTCATAATATAGATATATTAGGACCCTAATAGTAGCCTTATTATCGACTCTTACTGCATGGGGGCAGTACCTACGGCTTGGCACGATAAAAAACTGCCGGGTTGCCTAGACGTGGGCTTATGGTTTACGACGAAACCGTATGCAGCGAGAACTACGCAGTCCGGATCTGCAAAGTGTGGGAATGTTGAGCTCCTTGCGCAATTATTCAATCAGCATGTACACACGCATATACACGCGCATGGCTTGTTCAGATGTTGCTCTGCATGGCGGTCTCTATGCAAAACTACGGCAAACGGCTCAACCACATTGCATTCATTTAGCCAGGTACGCTCGATTCTTTTTTTGCCTTGTGGTCTTCTGTCTATCATGCACTTGTCTCAAATAACAAGCGGACGAACCGCTTGTTAATGTCTGCCTGCCACTTCCTTGTTACAGCTTATCTCAACAAGTGGACGATCTCCGCGTGACCTTTGTCGCAAGCCCGCATCAAAGCTGTGCAACCGTCGTTGTCTGCCAATTCCTTCTTTGCACCTACCTCGAGGAGCAAGCAAACGATCTCTGCATGACCTACATCAGATGCCCTTGCCAAGGCTGTGACCCCCTGCTTGTCTGCAACATCTTTGCTGGCGCCGGCCTCCAGCAGCAAGCGAATGATGTCTGCATGGCCCACGGAAGATGCCGCCCACAGGGCTGTGCCACCATAAATGTCTGCGGCTTCCCTGTTGGCGCGTGCCTCCAGGAGTAAACGAACGATGTCAACATGACCTGCGAAGGATGCCGTCCACAATGGAGTAACACCGTACTTGTCTGCCACATCTTTGCTGGCGTCGGCCGCCAGCAGTAGGCGGACGATCTCGACGTGACCTGCGGACGATGCCTTCCACAAAGCTGTGCACCGGTACTTATCCATCGCATTCGTGTGGGCGCCTCTCTCCAGAAGCACGCGGACGATCTCCACATGACCTGCATCAGAGGCCACCCACAATGCTGTGCGGTCCTCATAATCTACCAAATCCTTGTCGGCACCAGCCTCCAGCAGCAAGCTGACGATCTCGAGAAGACCAGCGGATGCGCTAAGCATCAAAGCTGTGCACCCGTAGTTGTCCGCCACATCCTTGCTGGCGCGGGAGTGGAGCAGCAAAGTGCAGCAAGCGGACGATGGCGACATGACCTGCGGACGATGCCTGCATCAAGGCTGTGCGGTCCTCATAATCTACCAAATCCTTGTCGGCACCAGCCTCCAGCAGCAAGCTGACGATCTCGAGAAGACCAGCGGATGCGCTAAGCATCAAAGCTGTGCACCCGTAGTTGTCCGCCACATCCTTGCTGGCGCGGGAGTGGAGCAGCAAAGTGCAGCAAGCGGACGATGGCGACATGACCTGCGGACGATGCCTGCATCAAGGCTGTGCGGTCCTCATAATCTACCAAATCCTTGTCGGCACCAGCCTCCAGCAGCAAGCTGACGATCTCGAGAAGACCAGCGGATGCGCTAAGCATCAAAGCTGTGCACCCGTAGTTGTCCGCCACATCCTTGCTGGCGCGGGAGTGGAGCAGCAAGCGGACGATTGCGACATGACCTGTGGAAGATGCCTGCATCAAAGCTGTGCGTCCGAGATGGTCTGACGAATCCTTGTCGGCACCAGCTTCCAGCAGCAAGCTGACGATCTCGAGATGACCAGCGTAGGATGCGGTGATCAGAGCTGTGCGGCCATTCCTGGCGTGCAAATTTGGATCTTGAGGCAAGTGAAGCATGGACTCAACCTGGGCCATGGAGCCCCGCCTAGCAGCGGCTACCAGATCGTCGACTTGCGATTGGGAAACGTCAGCGAGCGGCAAAACCAGATTCAGGTCCATGGATGATTCCAGCTTGGCAGTGTCCCGTAAACTCTCGCCGTCGAGAAAGAACCTCTGTCGGAACCGCGATGCCATACCGTGACACTGGTGAAGATGCCGTTTCAGGCGTTTCAGGCTTGTCACGTCACCGAGCCCCTGCAGCTCTTCCACAGTAATTCTTGCCACTGCTTCTCCGGAGAGCATTCGGATTTGCAGCATACCGAAGTCACACAAGAGTAGAACTGACGCTACTCTGCCAGAGGTTCAATTCTTGAGCCGCAACAGCAACGGCAGTTAACGGCAAATGCTTGTGTCGCGCCGAGAAAGGCGACAGGGTAGTCTCAGTGTTATTGCCCCTGCTACTGCCACGACTACTATAATATTCTGCAAGCACTGGTACTGCCTGCCACATAGGAAAGCCACAGTTCCTCTGTGCTCAGTAACTGTTTTGACATAGGGGTCTTATGGTGTTTAGACTAGGCCCTTAGTGCACGAGCACTACACTAGAGCATATCGCATTTCATTATCTGAGCTATGACAAGTCTGGCAAGTATGGTATACATAGTCCGTAGTCCGTAGTGTGGACGATGTTGCATGACTATACCATCATATCCATGACGACTGCGACGACTACTGACTACTGCTGCAGTACTGCACCTCTTGCTACTAGAAAACCATTGTACACTGTACCCCTAACCCCAAAGCCCCTAAACCCCATAAACTCTAAATCCCTAAAACCCCTAAACCCCGAATAACCCTACCTTAAGCTACCAAACCCTACTTTTTTGTAGGTCCTTATTATAAACCCTAATAGATATGGAATTTATCGGGACCCTACTTTTTTGCAGCTTTTGGTAGGGTAAGGTAAACCTTATAACTACAGGGTAAGTCCCAGTCAGGTTCCTGCTCGGCGGCGCGGCGCGTCTTCGCGCTGCAGCCATGCACCGTGCGGGACTGAGGCTCCTGTGGTCCCTAAGGCTCCATGTACCTTTATAGTATACCTTAACCTACCAAAACCTACCAAGAACTAGGGTCCCTATAAATTCCATATTAGGGTTTATAATAAGGACCTACAAAAAAGTAGGGTTTGGTAGCTTAAGGTATGCTTAGGCCTTAAAGTACCTGTATAGGGACCCCTTTAAGGCCTAAGCATCTACTATAAAGGTACATGGAGCCTTTTTGGGTTCGAGGGTACGAGGCATACAAGGATTTGGTTTCGGGTTTTGGGGTTTAGGGTTCCGATAAAGGGATCCATAAGGGCTCCTTGAAGGGATCTACAAGGGTTCTATAGGAGTTGAGGGTTTAGAGTTTGCAAGGGGTAAGGCTTAAGGTTGCGGGTTTAGGGAGTATAAATGGCTATTACTATCCTACACACTTTTGGGGTGAGGTATGGGGATTTGGCTTCAAAATCTTAGGATTTACAAGGCTTTGCGGCACAGGATTTGCACAGGCTTGGGGGTCTCCAACCGGAACTGTAGTCGGGACGCGGCAGCACCAATCACGAGTAATGCAGCGACATCGGAAACACGCGGACAGGCTTCCGTAAGACTGCAAGTATACACGATGTAGGTACTTTGGTGTCGAAAGTCTATACATAGCACATGTGCTGGGCTGTTTGCAGTCATAGGGCTTTGAACCCCGGCAGCCGCGTTAACAAAACACAGCGCTCAAACATAAACAGCTCCAGAAGTCCTGCACATAAACACACTTTTTAACCTCGAAGCCGCCCTGCTCGCGATTTATCCAAACCGTTTCAGTGATACCATGCAGCTGTCAGTAGTACGTAGTCGCTACCATTGCTACTCCTCTGCGAAAAAACCGACGCCAACCCCTAAAGAACGTTCCTAAACTCTAGACTCTATATAAACCCTCAACCCTTTCTTTGCATCAAGACTTGTGCAATCGACTGAACACACGGACGAAACCCCTGAACCCTAAACCGAAAGCCGAGACGCACTGAGAAAAGTTTGGCCACTGGGCAAAGTGACTTTGGCCTGGAATACTTTGTCTTCTGACCTGCTCCGATTCAAAGCCCTAAAAGGTTAGCATTGCCGATTTAGGGTTTAGGGCTTCAAGAAACTAGGGTTTAGGACTTTAGGGTTTGGGACTTTAAGGGCTTTGGGCAGGGCTTATGTAGGACTTCAACGCTTTCGGGACCTTAGGGGTTTGGGGGCTTGGGTTTAGGACTCTGGTGCTTTTGGCTTTAGGGCTTGGGGGCTTGCGGGGGTTGTTGGTGAAGGCTGAGAGTTTGGGAGTGTAGGGCTGCCAAGTACCTTAAGCTACCAAACCCTACTTTTTTGTAGGTCCTTATTATCAACCCTAATATGGAATTTATAGGGACCCTACTTTTTTGTAGGTCCTGATTATCAACCCTAATATGGAACTTATAGGGACCCTACTTTTTTGTAGATTGCCAAGTAGGCAGCCTAGACCTAAGAGTAACCTAGGCATAAAAAGGGTGCCCTTTTTGGTTTAAAGGGTATTATAAGGAAACCTAAACCCTAAAAAAGGGAATAAGGGCCTACTCTGGGTCCTAGCAGCTTTAAGCTTTAGGAATTCGTGGCTCGCGGTCTGATGCTTCAGGGTCTGGAGCTCGGGCTTTTGATTAGTGGGTTCCTTTAAAGGGATCCACAAGGGCTCCTTAAAGGGAACCTATAAGGGTTCTAAAAAAAGGAACTTAGTAGTTACCCCAACCCTAAGGCTCAAAATGGCCCAAAAGCCTTATATAGTATTTGTCTTTAGGCCCAAAAGCCTTAAAATGTGAGTCCTTAGAGCCTCAGGGCAAGGGTCCAAGTACCTAATAATCATATACTCTCCAAGATCCTACCCTATATAACTACAATCCTAAAACCGAGTACCTAACCATTGAGTCCTTTGGACCCTTGGGGTTCGGGGCGATGGGTGTAGAATTTTGGGCCACACCGCGGGCTGCTGCGGAGTTGGAGCTAAGAGCAACTGCTGTTTGTTCTACTTTTGATGCCTGTGTGGGTCCACAATTATAATCACGATTACGAAATGACTACCCTAACCCCTAAACCGTACTTAAACCCTCAACCCTAGACGACTAAAATGTCGCATGGATCTGGCTGTGAGTCAAAGCGCGCAATCACACATGATGTGGGTGTTTCTAGGTTCTTGTGTAGCCCCTTTATAATAAGGCTACCCTTTTCCTTACTATTCTGTTTGGATAAGGAGACCCCAAAATAAAAAGGGCAAAAGGGCACAACTCAGGAACCGAGGTTTCATAATCATACGTTGCTTCAGCCATCGAGTCTACCCGCCCACAAAGGTCCTTGAAAACAGGCGCTTTAGGGTTTAGGGTTTAGGGCCAGGGGGTTAGTTGGGGGGTGTTGGTAAGTCTTGACGCGTTCAAGCCCGCGACCTGCGCTTGTACGCCCTCTAAACTGCAGCCCAGCCACTCCTCCTGCCCCACGCGCTGCATCTCGAACTGCACTTGATCTCGCTGGCCTCTCGTGACGAACCCAGTCTAAGTCGGAGGATATCACTGTAGAAACCGGTCTGAGGGTAAACTCGGATGTATGGGCTTGTAGAAGACTTGGAACGTAGGTTTGAATATAAGCTATGCTAGAGTGGTGGGGATGTTACCGGTCCGGAGATTGCAGTGCCGTTGCCCCCCTACCCTTGGTAGGTAGGAGGTTGCACAACATGTGGCCGTTTAGACACGCTGCGTCTCCTCTTGGTATGCGTGTATAGATGTACCATACGAAACACCAAGACCCTAAACCTCAAACCCTTAACCCTACAACACAAAAATTACACCCTAAACCAAACCAAAACCCTACAACCTCAACCCAAATAGTAGGATCCTCTTTTTAAGGACCCTAAAATAGTAGGATAATCTTTCTAAGGACCCTAAATTTTTAAGGATCCTTTTTACCTCAACCCAAAGCAGTCCGCTATGAGCCTTGCGGTTGAAAGAAACCCAGCAGCTGCCCCTTCCAGTCCACGGCAGCCCCGGGATCCTGCAATATGCTCACGGTTTCGGGTTTAGGTATAGGTTTATTTGTCAGTTTTGTTTCTTTTGGGTGGGGTTTACGATTTGTGGTAATTATAGGATTACAGGGTTTATGAGGTTCAGGGTGGTCTTGTAGGCTGGGCTTAGGGTGTAGGGTTTAGAGATTGCCAGTGCGAGAGCAGCAATGTCTGGGATTCAACGAGTCCTAGAAAGCGTTTAGAGCCCTCATCCCTTACAAAGCTGTATAGGTACCCATAGGCCCCAAAGTAGTTCCTTTTTGGGATTACCTTGTAGGATTCTATATATGAACCCCCAAAAGGAACTACTTTGGGGCCTTAGAGCCTTAGGGTATTTGCACAATATAGAATAGATTAAACCCCCCTCCCTCTCCCGACTCGCTGCTTTTCAGGGTGACAGGGTCATGTCGTCGTCCTTAAGGAACTCACACGTGGGATTGTGCAGAACGGTAGACCCCAGAAAGTTCGAACCCAGAAAGTTCGAACACTTTCATTGTGCCGTCATGCCTTCCGAGGATTGCATATAAAACTCCACACTAATTAGTCCTGCTCGAGCCGCGTTAACCCTAAACCCCTATAACCCTTAAACCCCTAAACCGCAAACCCCTAAATCCCTAAATCCCTAAACCCAAATGCAGAGGCTCTCGTAATTCTTGCGCACCCAGAGCAAAGTGATGAAGGAGAGGCGGATCTTTCGACTTTGAACCACAAGCTCTGATCCCCAAGAATTGAATTAAGCCCTAACCCCGAAACCTAAACCCTACACCCTATAGACGCTAACCCCGATACCTACACCCTAGACTCTAAACCCTAACCCCGAAACCTAAAACCCTAAACCCTTACCCCCCGAAACCGCCCAAACTCTTCGCAGCCCTAAGTTCCAAGCTCCCTGAATCTTTTGATCCTGTAAGCCACCTACCACATGTCAGGATTTGGGGTTTAGGGTTTAGGGGGTTTTGGGTTTGGTGTCATGCGAAACACCGAACTCTACACAACTCCACCTTCTAGGAGTTGTGGGACTCCTGGGGGGTTTATGCCTTTGGGTCCTTTGGCCATGATTGGATTGCCGAGGTCTTGTGGATACTTGGGCCTCGCCGACTTAGTGACCTTGGAGTGTTGTACTGTAATTTACTACTGCGAGGAGTAAGTACATCATAGCCCTTGGCATGTGCGTTCTGGGCTTAAGAGTCTGCCAAGGTTGTCTAGAGCTGCATTTTGTTTTGGGGGGGGGCTCGGCTGACGCACAATTCAACGCTCAGTCGAGACAGTGCAGCCGTTGGGACTCCTTGCAACGAACCTCCTTCGGAAACAGGTGACCCAGAGACTCCAATATCCCTTAATTAAGGAATATACCTTAAACTATAGTAGGATCCCTAATATGAATTAAGGTAATTAAGGGATATCGGAGTCTCCTAAACCTTAAACCCTAGATCCCTTATAGATCCCTTAAAGGAACCCTAGGTATATTCCCTAATTAAGGATTATTGGAGTCTCTGGGGACTGACCTCGGGCCTGGACTGAACACACCCTGCAACAATAAAACACTCTCCGATGCCTTTTGACTAAACCCTAAACATCCTAAATCCTAACAACCCTAAATAAACCTCCGGCTCCAATACCCCAAACCCTAACCTCTAAAAGTCCGAAACCCGAAAAACCCTAAACCTCCGGCTCCAATACACCAGACCCTAAGCCCTGAAAGTCCTAAACCCTCACAACCCTAAACCTCCGGCTCCAATACACCAGACCCTAAGCCCTGAAAGTCCTAAACCCTCACAACCCTATAGACCTCCGGCTCCAAAACCCCAAACCCTAACCCCAGGGCTCCTCAATGCCCGCTTCTGCGAGGAGCGTCTCCAGCGCGGTCAAGGCCGCATCGTGTTCTGCAGCCTGACAGGGGCATTCCCGAATCTTGAACCAGCTTCTCCGAAAAATTTACTAGGTTCTTGTGTAGCCCCTTTATAATAAGGCTACCCTTTTCCTTGCTATTCTGTTTTGATAAGGAGACCCCAACATACAAAGGGCAAAAGGGCACTACTCAGGAACCGAGTTTAAGCCCCAAAGGCTGTAAGGCCTTAGAGCCTAAACCCAAGTTCAGGCCCCCAATCTTGAGACCATCATAGGACTGTCTCAGAGGATCCCAGCTCAAAACCTCAAAACCGCGGAAGGCCTCTAATAGGGAATCCTGATATTGGCCTTTAATTGTATTTAGGCGAAGGGTTCGGGGTTTGGGCACTTCTATCATGCATACGGTTTAGGGTTTTTACGGGGATGAAATTAAAAGAGCCTTCATGAATAGACCAGGTTTTTGGGATGTTGCACAGGACTTTATACAGGGACTCTAACTCAGGGGAGATTATCTTAAGGGTCCTAAGTAACGATTTTGCAAAATTTAGGGTCTCTATACTAGGAGTTGTTACTATGATTTAGGGAACTATCCCCAAGGGTCCAAAGGACCCAATACTTAGGTACTCGTGTTTAGGATAGTAGTTATGTAGGTTCGGATTTTGGAGAGTATATGATTATTAGGTACTTGGACCCTTGGGGTAAAGGGATCTATAAGGGTTCTACAAAGGGTTTATAGGGTTTAGGGAGTCTCCGAACATTACCATATTTTGGGGTCCTTATAATAAGGATCCTACTATTTAGGGTAGTATATAAGGGCTACTTACCGAGACCTTCCTTGCACCCTCCAACGGTTGAAATGTAGGGGCCTGCATCATTGGAATAGGGTTCGTTTAAAGGGTTCCTTAAAGGGTTCTATAGGGGATCCATAAGGGTACTCTACCGAGGCCTTCCTTGTACCCTCACAAGCAGGGGTAATTATACGTTACCGTCCCAAGTCGTGGGAATTTAGGGTCGGATCGAGGGCAAGCCGAGGGTCTCGGCAGATCTGCAACAACCAGACCAAACCTCTCTCCTGAGCAGTTCGTTGCTCTACCTGCAGTAGACAGGAAATGAATCGAAGAAACACTGCAGGGGCCAGCAACCACTCAAAACTATAGTAAACCCGCCCTCAAGGAATAAACCTTCACCCCTGAACCCTAAACCACCAGAGCGGTAAAAGCTCAAATCCCAACCTCCAAGATAGGCTGTGCAGTGCTGCCTTCTTGGTGGTGTGGGCGTCTTTGCTCTCGAAGGATCGGCCCCAAATCTCGCATTGGGCTCGGAATGTCGCAGGATGATCCTCGTCGGATCGTTCGGTTTCAGCACTGAGGTTTGGGGTGTAGGGTCTCGGAATTGGGTTGAAGTTTCGAATGATCCGTTGACGAGGAAAGGAAAACAAGGCAGAGATTGAAGCCAGGTCAGAGTCTTTGGAACTTTTCTCAGAACCCTACAGAAAAATGGCCCAAACTTGCAGATGCACAGGACCGGAACCCACGAGCCCAGAATCGGAAACTCGCTGTGCATCAAAGTTGATGTCACCTTTCGCAGCACCTCGACCCATCCTCAGATCTGTGGGGGCTTTCGGGATTTCGCGTGACCTATATAAGGCGCCTGGCTGTCACAGGGTTGCTTAAAGGATCATGGGACTTAGTAACTGGGGGTTCCTCAAAGGGCTCCTTTAAAGGGATCTATAAGGGTTCTATAAGAGGGGTTCTAGGGTCTACTTAAAGGATCATGGCAATTAGTCACTGGGTTTATAAATAAGGTATCTATACTTATAAGCACTGAAAAGCCCACAAAAGGTACTTATAACCTGACTTACTAAGTCCCATGATCCTCCAAGTAAGATTGGCCCGCCAACGTTCGTTGTTTAAGACGGCGGGTTTCAGGAACTTTGCACAGGCTTGAAGGACTTGCTAAGCAGTGGGCTCATCAGAGAACCTTGTCGGGCGGGATCCGAGTGCGGTCACGCGCAGTTGGGGCTGCAAGATCCTACATGAGTATAATATATGTATAGTCCCTAGCTACCTCACTCATGCCCCTGCATACTCGTCGGCTTGCACTTGGTAGTGTTGTACTTCCATAAGCATTGTCACTGTCTCCCTTCTTATACCGGTAGAGGCTTCGGGAATGGGCTTCCAACGCAAATCCAGGGTCCAGGGTTGCGCAGGTTTGAGTGTGTGTTGCGAAACCAAGGCTATATGGGAGTTTCCGAAAATGGGGGACCTTATTTTGGGGTCCTTATAATAGGGATCCTACTATTTAGGGTACTATACTGGGGGCCCCTATTTTCGGAAACCCCCATACAGTGATTGGACACTCCACAACCTCAAACAAAAAACGTCGGGCCTATGCCTCGTCGATCTCAATCTGCATGGCTGTCTTTAGTTAGCTCAGGACTCTTGGATTGCACCTACCCAGCTCCCTTTAAGTAAGGAATGTTCCTTACATTATGGTAGGACCCCTTATATGATTTAAGGTATATTCCTTAAGTAAGGGATATTGGAGTCCCTGGGTACGGTAGCTATTTAAGAAGTCGCTAGTCACGTAGCAGCTTCATCTTGGTGGCTTTCCTCGGGTCTGTTTTATCTGAGGACCAGCCCTGGGTTGAGGATGTAGACGACTGGTAGTGCATGGTACGGCTGATGGACAAAATCCTGCATTACCCAGTACAAGGAATATACAATAGTTCCCATAGTTTAGAGTCCTTAGGGTCATGCAGGATTTTGTCCATCAGCAGTATTGCTGTCGCTATCATCGTAAAAACAAAACCCTAAACCCTACACCTCGAAACCCTAAAAGCCCTAGACCCCTAAACCACTAAATCCTATCCCCTAAACAAGGCCCTTAAACCCTACACCCCCGAACCCTAAACCCCTAAAGAGCCTATACCCGTAAACCCTAAAACCCCTAAACCCTCAACCCCTATCACCCCTAAGTCCCTAAGTGCCATGTACTGTGACGTCAAGGCTCTTCTTTGCGAAGAAATGCCCAAGCTCACCCTTCACATTCCGCTGCGCTGGCTGCAGAGCCTCTGTTCTTCAAACGGGTCTAGGGTTTAGGGTTGAAAGCCTAAAAACCTCAAACTTTTGAGTAAAGACCTTGAACACACGAACTGTCAACCAGTTTTTGAGCTATTTCATAGACCGCACCCTAAACCCGATAATGCTTAAGCCCTGAACCCCTAAACCCAAGGTAGGTCCTATCTGTAGACTGTAAACCCACCCAAAACCCAAAACCCCCTTAAACCCATTTCTATAGTCTATAAACGCCACACTAAACCCTAAACCCTATAATCACTAAACCCTATAGTCCCTAAAACCCCTATAATCCCTATAATCCCTAAACCCAAGGTAGGTCCAATTCGAAGCCTCGGAGCCGTCGTCGCTTTCGGGGGGTCTTCCGGGATGCTCACCGCCGGCTGCGCCGCCGCGGCTTCGGCCCGCTCCCTGGCTTGCGCCTTTTGGGCTCGGATAAGGGTCCCTTTAAGGGATCTATAGGGTTCCTTAAAGGGATCTATAGGGTTTAAGGCTTTAGGGTTTAGAGTTCAGGGTTAGGGTATGTAGGGTTTAGGGCTCATAGCATAGGTTTTAGGCTTAGGGTGTTGGGCTTAGAGGGCTTGTAGGGTCTGGAGTTTAGGGTTAGGGTTCAGGCTTTAGGGCCTCATGGGCTCGGATAAAGGGCTTAAGGCTTCTAGGGCTCGTAGGGTTTAGGGGTCAGGGCGGTAAGGGTTTATGGGGCTTGTAGCGGTTGAAGTTCAGGGAAGGGCTCTGAGAGAGTTCAGGTTTTAGGGCTTCTAGGGATCAGGGTTGAGGGTTGCCGGGTTAGGTTTAGGATTTTTAGGGTTTGGGGTTCAGGGTTTGGGACTTTACGATTACGGTTCGGGGTTTGGGGTTAGTTAGGATTTGGAGTGCGGGTTCAGAGTTTGGGTTGGCCCTATAACACCCGAGCAGCCGGAGCCCGCAAGATGCTATAGGGCTAGGGACGATGCGTGGTAGCTTGAAGGTCTGCAAAGTCACCCGAAATCGCTGGCAAAAAGTGATCCGGGAATGCGAGGCTGCCAACATCAAAGTGAGCACGGCCCTTGAAGCACTGCAACTCCGAGGCGATAGATCAAACACAACTCAAGCCCCAAAAAACAATTACAGAGATGCTCTGCGAAGCAGATACCGCAATCATTCCACGCAGACAGCACAAACACATGCTGCAGACCATAGGAGTACCAACAAAAACACATATCATACAAGGCCTCGGGGTTTAGGTAGCTACCTCATCCCAAATACATGAGAAGTCTTGTTAACTGAATATTTCGCTCCAATACGCTGAAGCTTGGATCCTAAATCACTCACCCTCAACGGGCCCAACCAGGAAATGCCACATACCAAACCCGAATCACCAAAACCCCTGACCCGAAGCCCAACATACATAAATCCAGTCAATCCACCTTGGTCTTGCCACCTCCCCCCCCCCCGCTTCAAACAGCGAGTCTAAAGCCCTGACCCCCGAAAGCAGTTAGGCTAGGACTTGCCCACTTTGGGCAATAGCATAGCCACACAATGCATCAACACTCCGAGCCCTTTCTGAGCCAGCAGCTGCCGGGTTCCTCGCTGGATGGACAACTATCGGAGTGCTGAGCTAATATAGGGGCCGTAATAATTAGAATAGGGTTTGGGGCCTACCATACTATACTGATAAAAAAGGAGCCCCCAAAAGAGTATAGGTAATTATTAAGGCCCCTACATTAACCAACATCATCTTCTCCAGGCTACGTCAGCATCGAAAAGATGTCGCGCCAGACAGACAAGGTTAAACAGCGCTACTATTTGGCGACTGTCCGTTTCCCTTTCCTCGTCCATCAACTCAAAGTCTGCCATGACATCATGTATTTTGGTAGCATAATGGCTTGAGAACGGCTCGAGAGTGGTTCGGTTGCACAAGCCAAGCAAAAAGACATCCCCATAACCTTTTGCGGCGATCCATGCAACTGTGACCAAGAACAACGATAAGTAGCGACCGTCATCTTCAAGCAAGAATGCTAAGAGAGCTGCAATTGCATCCATGTCAAACAACGATGCCAAAATATCTTCTCTGTCTGGACGTCCTGCGCACCACCAGGTGGACAACGCATGTTCCAAGAACCCCAAGAAGTCTTCCTGGGGCCTGCGGGCTTCATGAACAACAACCAGGCCTAGTAGTGCATCTTTGCCGATGCGTTTTGGTGGTTCTGACAGAAGCTGCGGGTTGCATTGCCACCAAGGCCAATCGGCATCAATCCAGGTGATGGTTGCACGGAATTCACCTGGCGGCTCATTTGGCGGCCGCATTCTTTCTCGCACGTGGCGGTTTGGACCCAGCGAGTGGTACACACCCGGCCCTGCCAGGTAAAACATTCGAGTCGCAAAGACGTACCACAAAATGAACTCGGTCTCATGCGCAGGAATGCCGGAGAACAATCGAGTGTCCTTCGATTCCTCGAGTTTTCGCTGAAAGTCGGAACTTCGCCATACATCGCGCAGCTTGTAGACTTGCAGACGAACTTCTGCCGGTCTGTTTGGCGCACGAGCATGTCGCGAAAACAGGTCTGAGAAGGGCATCGACCGACAAAGCGCAGCTCTTTCACACGCTTGCCGATCAAAAGTTTGCCCATGAATCGAAGATCCATGAAAGTTGCAAGCAGACCATTTGGCGAAGGCCTCAGGACACCGCAAGCACTGATAGCGTGCACCATCTGCCATGGCAAGAGTTGCTATGGAGTCAAATGGTCAGCTGAAATTAAGCCTACATCGCGGGAGAGAACTCAGAATGTTTTCGCTAGGCATGAACAGGGAAATTACCTCCATCTACAAATGTGACTGAACTTCCAAGCTGTTATTCTTCTACTGCTGGATGCAGAGTCAACCTCAGGGCTGATGCTGGATGTTCTCGCAAATTTCGGATTCCACGTGTCGTCCACATCCAGGCTGGACATATAGATTCTCTCCAAATTAGTTCCGTAAATCTTCAATATTTTCATTGTGTATTAAGGCGATTTTCCAACCTGTACATTGAAGCCCCGCCAACATTCATTCTCGCTGGTAGGGATGGCATCATTTCATACTTGCTGTCATTGAACAGGTACTTGGGTAGGTATATCGGTTCTACCGTCGGAATATCGATCTTTATTAATACTAGTCAGAAAACTATGTGTCATAAATACGAGCTACGGTGATTGTATTGATCTCATTCACAAGCTTGAAGAAATACTGTACAACAAACAATAATAACAATGTCTAGATATCGTAGGTGTTGCTATTCTGTGCTGGAGATATGTTAATTTAATAGCGTTTTTCAATATTGAAAACTGAAGACAAACTAATATAGAATAGTATTAGTGATACAACAGGTGATGCTTCTGAAACAAGAAAGTTGTCCATATAGTTACAACGGGTCTTCACTGTATCCCTTGCAGATGCAGAAAAGCAGTTTTACACAGAGAATAAGAAACACAAAACAGTCAAGGCCAATGGCAAAATTACAACAAATGTTGTAGACGATAGGCGAAACATTAAATTCCGTTCCACCGGTAGACATCAGTCGCCCGATGGTATTTTGTAGACCAGACAATACTAATCAGTTAGGTAGAGGGGAAATATGTCATGCAGGCTGGGGCACTGCTGGAAAACAATAACACCAGCATAATGTGAACAAGCAACAGAACACGCTGAGCCAGAAATCCAAGAAATTAAAAGGGACATTGATACGATAGAAAACCATCTAAACTTGCTGGACTGATGGAAGAATATTGTTACACACTTAAATGTGTTGTAAGTTGACAGTGAGGTGCCCTTTGGGCTTTAAACTCTTGGATTTTTAGCACAGTTGTTGAGTCCTATGTGATGTGTTTTTTGTGTGAGCGAAACATGAAAGGAAAGCAGCGGACACGCATACGTGATTGGTGCAGCATAAGATAGCACCGGGAATTCAACCTTTTTACCATACGAGTTCTATTAGAAAAAGGTTTGTGTTAACAAATAGTCTCTGTAGTAGCATATAGGTGATAAACCTGAGTTCAAGCAGATTCAAGCAAGATTGAAAGGATAGGGAGGTTACCTAATGAAGCATACACGAGGCACATTAACAGAATACCCGCTGAAGCCACCTATGCTAATAAAAAAACTGCATACTTGACTAAACGGAGGAACGGAGACATTTTACAACCCAAACATAGTACCCTTGAAAATTACAAGATAAAGAATGAACAAGAAACGAAAACCTATTCATAATAAGATCATGTAATAATAATCATGAATACATTAGATGAAATTGTCGTTGTGGAGTTTCCTGCAGGCGCTTGTTGCAATGCAAGATACATGCAGTGCGCTATATCCAAAAGCCAGTGAAACATAATCGTACATTTTGAATAAGATACTCTTAAGCCCAATAAGCGAAAATGCAAAATGTCCCGGAGGCCTACCTAGATGTCTAAGCAAACAAAACATGCAGACGAGTTGTAAGCATATAAGCATTATACGGAGGTATGCAATACAACTTGTTGGGCTTGTTTGGACATTGATAAGAAACATAGGCTTAAAGGAAAGGAATGAGGTCACGGAGATTTCTTATAAAACGGGTTCTTAAGAACAAACTCTTCAATAAATACCAACTTAATATGATATGGGGGAAATGAATGAAACTGAATATGACAGCGAGAGTGCTTATGAAGGCGAGAATGAAAATAAAAGTGTACACAATGGAGTTGCGCCGTGAAGTGGAAAGCATGTATAAACACTCAGGAACAAATGAGTTTTGCAAGCGGCATCAAGAAAAGCAAGAACACTTCAAAGACACTTTGCGCAGATACTTCAATTATCGTGACAGAATACATAGGCTCTTCATTAGGATATCTTTCGATATACGAGTACAAAGAAAAGACGTCAAGCCACCTTACGAACATCTAGCGGAAACGTCAAGGTTCCTGTGAGAAAACATTTCGGTTAATCGTTTGTAAAGTAGTCTACCAATAATTTCTGAATGATTCATGCAATTAGACTGCTATTGAATACAAACCTCATGCCCCAAACTATGAACAAGAAACCGAAACAACCTAAGCTTGCCCACTTCGGGGAGCTACATAACCTGAAAACAGCATGAAATCTATGTCGTAATGTGTTTTAGGAGATACTGGCAATTCGTCCGTTGACGGTGATGTAAATTCCCAAACTAGGCAAGCCCCAGCCCAATTAAAGTCCTGTATATTAAACCTTGCACTCGACCCCATAAAGAAAAAACAAACAACACCAAACACAATGCGAAAACAATCACATGAATAACCGAAAATACCATCGAGTATAAGCATGCCCCAAGGGTTCATGTACCCAGAGACCATATACTTTGGCCCTAAAGTATCTATACAGGGACTGCTCCAATTCCAATGTATATACATATGAGCACATGGATCTTTATATACCCGAAAGATTCCTAAACCCTTTACGGAACCCCTAGGGATACTATTTTGGGCACATGGACCCTTAGGGCATGTCTACATATGAATACCCAGACCCCCGGGAAGATCCAAAAATTAGATCCTTTAATGGGGGTTCCTATAAAGTACCCTTAGTAGTATAGGGCCCAAGTTAGGGGATCTACTTTCCCTTATACCTCCCTAAACCCTAAGGGATCCCTTAAAGGAGCCCTTTAAGGTCCCATGATCCTCCCGCCGGAGGTTTGGGTATTCGCCTCCTCAGCTTCCACACGCCTCATGGCTTCCGCCACGGCTGGAGGCATCTCCTGCAGCTTCGTGGGGTTTGAGCCTTTTTTCCAAGGGTCCAAAGGGCCCAACAGTTAGGTATTCGGTTTTTGGATAATAGCTATGTAGGTTAGGGTTTTGGAGAGTTTGTAGTACTTGGACCCCTGGGGTTTGGGCTTCGGCTAATGTTCACAGGTTTAGGGCTTAAGGGTCGTGGGTTTAGGTTTCGAGGGCTGAGGAATTTCTTTTTGAGGGGTTTGTCTGTCGCTCGAGCTCCAAAGCCCCTGTTCGGGCAGGCTACGGTACACAACCCTCGGCACATCACTCAGGGCTGAGGGTTTAAAGGTTTGGGTTCAGGGTTTACAGGTTGGGTTTGAGAGTTTACAGGTGTGTCTGCTTAGGCTTCTACACCTAAAAAGCAACAACTTCGCCCTAAACCCTAAACCCTAAGCCCCTAAACCCTTACAGTACAACAAAGTACCCCCATATAGATCCCTTAAAGGGGCCCTAAACCCTAAACCCTAAGGCCCTGTCTCCTTCGGCTTCGCCAGCCGCACCAGGGCCCGAGGCAGATGCGTCACAGCGAGATCCTGCAAACGGGGATTGGGAACTTACCCATAGGGTTCAGGGGACTTAGTAACTGAGGTTATAAATAAGGTAACTATACCATAACTCCCAAAGAGGTTTAACTAGGGCTTACAGGGTCTAGGGGTTTGGGGTTGATAGGGTTTTTGGGGTTTAGGGTTTTAGCGGTTAGGCTTCAGGGGTTCAGGGTTTGCGGCTTACCCATAGGTCCCGAAGTAGGTCCCGTTTGGGTTTACCTTATAGGATTCTATAAAAGAGCCCCAAAAAGGAACTACTATGGGGCCTTAGGGTAAGGCCACGAATCTTCCAGTCTCATGGAGAAGGCTGAATAATGAATAATTAGAACAGGATTCCTTTTTCAGGGCTCCCGAGAGAAGGCGTCTGTGAGGTCAGATTTGGGAACTCCCGCCCCTTGAAACCCCGAAACCCAAAGTGACGTCACGGAAGCCCCGAGCCCGATCCCTTTTTATGATCGAGCCCAACCTTGTAAGAGGCGCCGAAACAACCCCCACATTTTAACACCTCAGCGGCTTCTCAAAACCCTTAACCCAAAGGGTCCAAGTAATAGACTAGTATATACTTTGGGGGCCCAAATACTTACTAAGTACCTACTATAATAGTACTTGGACCCTTTGGGTAAAAAATCCTGCTCTGACTATCACGCCATACACCCTAAACCCTAAACCCTAAATCCCAAACCCCTGGAGCCCTAAGCTTCTTAGAGCCTTGAGGAGCCCGAAACCCTAAAACCCCTCAAGGCCGTAATTTTGGGGTTGGAGCAATTGCCAAGACTCGTCCTTACGCTTCCTTATCATGAAAACTATAAACACTTCCGACAAACCCTACGTATTCTTACTAGGTATTCAGGATCCTATCTTGTGATACTTCGGAAAGACCTGTTGTTATTAAAGATGTATAGCAATAGCAGGGTCCCTATAATAAACTCAAAAACTGGACTTTGAAGTAAGCAGGGAGAAAATTATGGCTCCTTTTGAGGAGCAGGTACCAAAAAAAGTATTCAAGTATGGCACTCTACACCCAGGAAAACAAGCCCAGAACTAAAGATTATTTATAATTGTAAGGTCCCTATCATAAACTCAAAAACACGCCCAGACGCCTCGTTCTCTTCCGCCGCCTTCTGCAAATAATCCTAGGTTCTTGTCTAGCCCCTTTATAATTAGGCTACCCTTTTCCCTACTATTCTGTTTTGATAAGGAGACCCCAACATAAAAAGGGCAAAAGGGCACTACTCAGGAACCGAGAAGCGAAGGCACGCGCCAGGCTTCGGCCGCCCTCGCCGGACAGCTTTAAGGCTGCCCGGCGCAGGCCTCCAGCGGCAAGGTTTGAGGAATTCTGGTTTAGGGCTGTGGTTTAGGGGTTTAGGGTTTTGAGGGTTTTGGGTTTGGGGGTTTAGGGGCTTTTCGGGTTTCGTGATTCAGGCGTTAGGGTTCTTAAGGTTTGGGGTTCGAGGTGCAATTGGCTTCTTGCTGGGGGGTTGGTATCGTTTGCTTCGGCTGGCTCCTGTGGTGGTGGCGGGCGAGGGGTTGCTTGGAGCTCCAGTGCATTGTGCTTGGTTTGGTCGTCACTGCTTTGAAGGTGGTTTCTTGCTGACGGGGAGCGGGGGTGGGGGGCTGTAGGATCGGAACCTAAACCCTCAACCGATGCCCCTTTCGCCCTGAGGCCACCTCAGCGCAAATAGGAACCTGACTTAAAGGATCATGGGATTGAGTAACTACCTGGACCCCAACGGTATGTAGAATAGTAGCCCTTGACAGGCTTTGGGCCAGTATTTTAGCTACTCTTGGGGATTTAGGTAGCGTTATGATTAAGGTAACGACACTTATAGCTACTTATAGTCCCGATGAGAGTAATTATGCTCGGTGAGTAGCCTGGGGCTTTGCCGCATACTGCAGTCATATTCTGTTCGGGACTCCAAGGCGGACATTGCTACTAATCATTCCCACTAGATCAACTGA